CATAATATAACTAAAAATAATTAGAACAGATACGGCTAAATTTTTCCTGGGCCTAAAACTGTATCAGAATACTTGCAGTACACATAATCTGAAAATCACTGAGTATCTTAAAGACTGAAATGCGTACTTTCTGAAAAATGCAGCTATTGAGGCAGGATTTAAAAAAATAGAATATTCCTCATTTTGTTTAAGTAAACCACTGTTGTGATCTTTTTTCATCTTTTATTCTGGAAATAACGGCCTCGGATAGTAAATTTTAAATGAAAGTTGATGAAAAGTAAACTGAGTTGGTTTGATATAGCCAAACACATTGTATAGAAATCAAACCTTTATCACTGGATACATTCCAAGGAGATTTTTAAAAATTACGTTTCTGAGTTCCAAAGAAATGACAAGCCCTTTTCAGAGATATAGATGTTGTGAAATTCTTAAATGAAAGTGTTATTCTTATTTTTGCTAATAAATGTATTAGCAGTGCTTTGTTCACATGTTCATTTCTTTTTAATCCGAACATCATCCCTTTCTTCCTAACAGTTCATTTCCATTTACCTACTTTGGGTAGCTTAAAACCAGGGAATTACTGAATCACAAGGAACACAGAGGTTATTTCGTTCAGTGTCCTATAATCCCTTTCATGGCATTTGCTGGCATTGATGAAGGGAACACACAGCATCTGTTACACTTTCTCCAAAGATGAAGATATTTTATTTATAATCTTGGCTAGTGGGAACACTGATTTTTTGGTTTTGTTTTTTAAAGTACTGGTTTTTCAAGACAGAACATAGGTGTTTAACTTGGAATCCTGAATCTGCTCCTTCTTTACCAGTCCTGTGACTTTGGGCAAGGCACTTAACTTCCCTGACCTTAAATTCTCATTTGTACAACAGAGATCACAGTAGGTGGTTCTAAGGAAAACGTGACGTATATCAAAGTGCCTTGTGGAGAGCAGTTTCTCATCAAATATTACATCCTTCTTGAAAGCCCCTTTTTATACTGTGATGAGACTTACAGTAGGTTTTTCTGTTTCCTTTAGGAGCTAACAAAATTAATCTCATTCATTTGTAACCTATGACTACCTGTCCAGCGCTAGAAGACAATAGTAACTTAGGAAAGTTATTTTTTCAAATACTATCATATTTCTTCCCATCACATGCTTTTACTAGTAACTTGGAAAAAAATCAATGGTAATCTTCATCTGAACAATGTATCAAGTCTCTCTGTATAGGGTTGTTCAGTCCAACAAACATTTACTAAGTGCTTACAATGTGCCAAAAACTGAGCCAGAGATTAACCTAGAGATACAGAATTTTTCCTTAGAAGTTAATAATCTTTTGAAAACTAGACATATTCTGAATGACTGTGCTACATAGCGATATGCTAAATACTATGTTACATAGAAATTGCTATGTGAATAAAACTGAAAAGTCACACAGAACGCATCTGTGGTGGGTTCTCCACAGGAGACAATTTTTAAAAACTGTCTTGGGACCATTCATTCATTCAGTAAATACTTACTAAAGACCTACTATGTGCCAGACATCATATACTAGTTATTGAGAATAAAAAGGTGAAGTGTGGTGGTTGGAAGGTAGGGGAGGAAGGTGGAGAGTGCCTACCCTCATGGAATTTAGAATCTAATTTATGATGTTCTGGTTCCATGTAATAATTTTAGTTTACTCAAAGATGGTCAACTTTCCCATTTGATACAACAATGAATAACCATTTATTTGTGTTACAGTTTCTTGGTTTTCTAAGTTGGGTATCTTATAATATACCCACCCTATCTAAAATCCTAGAAACAAAGAAACAAAAATTTTTTTTTTTTGAGACGGAGTCTCGCTGTTACCCAGGCTGGGGTGCAGTGGGGTGATCACAACTCACTGCAACCTCCACCTCCTGGGTTCAAGTGATTCTCCCACCTCAGCCTCCCAAGTAGGTGGGATTACAGGTGCGCACCACTACACCCGGCTAATTTTTCTTTTTTTTTTCTTTTGTAGAGATGAGGTTTCACTATGTTGGCCACACTGGTCTTGAACTCCTGACCTCAAGTTATGTGCCCACCTTGGCCTCCGAAAGTGCTAGGATTACAAGCGTGAGCCATCGCACCGAGCCCAACATAAAAAAAACTTTTTAAGAAGAGTTTACTTCCCACTCCCCCTACCATGTTGTAAAACTAAGCGGGATGGGTGAGTAATCTTTAGGATTTCAGTTGAGACCAATGGCCAATGTCTGAAGTTATGCTAGAGGCTGCAAGCTGCATTAGAAAAGTTGGAACTACAAAACTCATTTAAAACTGGGTCAGTGGAGGAAGATGAGGTCAAAAGGGTATACCTGGGAGGCAGTGCTACCGACGGCAAGCCACTGTAAGCGAGCTGAAGGGCTTTATCTACTCCTTATACCAAGTACCAGCAAAGTTTGTTATATACAGTGAAGCTTTTACTATACTGAAAAAGCCACTGAAGCTTCACTATAACTGTGCCAAGGCAGCTTACAAAATGCTAGGCTAAATGAGGAAAATCTTTCCTCTTGACTAGTGATCTTAAAAGGCAATGCCAGGAATAATAGATGCTAAATTAAGTGGGAAAGCTATAACATTTGTAATCTGAACCCCTCAGGACGGTAATTCAACTCGGGGAAGGAGGTGCACTCATGATGGTATTTCTTTTTCTTTGGTGTCCCACTACACCACCCAAAGCACACCTGGAAAGCACAGAGCTGTTTTATGTATGCAAGACTTGTTATTGTATGAAGTTGATAAAATTGCAAATGCTGCATTCCGGCCAAATTAGAACACTTGTGGATGTGGCCATCAGTTATTTGAAGTCTATACTACCATGTGACAGAAAGAGCACCGGCTCTGTGTTGAAATCACAGCTGCAGTAACAGTCAGTGCTTGGAAGAGTGCCAGGCATCAGTGAGTGTGGGAATCAAACAATGAAGGTTGACTTTTTCCTTTAGAGCTCTTAAACCTTTGTCTGGTCTGGAAAGACATAGATAATCTTCTACAGGGCCACTATCCCATTATCCTTGGTAGCAGATGGAAAGGGAGTAAATTAATCCTACAGAATACTTCTCAATTCAATTGTTTTAATGCCTTTCCTATCATTTACAAAAAAAAATAAAAAATAAATAAAAATAAAAAAATCAAAAGTACAAGCAGCAAACCCAAATGTCTTGAATGTCTCTTGCTTTTACTTTTCCTCCTTCGGACTTTTACCTTTCAAGAATGTTTTAGTTTTATCAATCTATATAACTTATCTCCAGACTCTAGTAATTACAGTATACACGCTGAGGCAGACAACATGTGTGTCTGGCTCACATGGTAGAAATCCAATCTTTATTGAATAGAAAGATGAATACATGTAATGGAGGCAATCATTCTTTCTGAAATAAGTAGATGATGAAGCCCAAAAAGTTAAATATCTTGCCTACCTGATACTGAAATTTATGGTAAAATGGGGTATAGGATCCAGGTTTCCCACACAACCTGCCTGGCAATCTCTTCTACATCATCCAACCACATCTGTATTAAATCTAAACCTAAGAGAAATCAATGTAAGCCAAAGTGGAAACGAACAGACACTAGGCCTACCTAAAAGGAATTTAAGATTTCCTCTCCTTTATAGTCTCTGCTACTTTCAGGAGACTCAGCATTTATGGAAGAGCTGAGGCATAATGATTATTGTCAACTGGTGAGAATATTAGGAAGTAGGAACACTTCTAACTGTAAGGAAATCAAAGAAAAGAGAGAAACCACATCCTTCCTCGACTGAATAACAAACCTGTAAAACTTTTATGGGATTTGTTAAAATATAATTCAGTGAGTTCCCAGTATGCACTCTCTCCCAAGTATAAAGAGATAAAAGCTATTCATTCCTGCCCTTCCAGAGGTTCACGAGCTAGGTGGGAGAGAGAAATGTAAGAACTGTAGTAATGCTCAATAAGTTGGCTATTACCACCTCTAAATTTCCCTAGCAATGGTTGACCTAAGTCGAGAAGGACACAAGGAGAGAGTCAAAGGAAACATGAGAAGATCACTCTAGGCTGAGGAGGCAGTATGAGCAAAGGTCTGGAAGACTAAGATGACACAGAATGTTCAGGGAATTACGAAACCTTAAACACGTCCAAGACAAAGACTTTGATCTTACCAGTGGCCACACAGATGAGGTTGAAGAGGTTGTCTGAGGCCCAGGGGATTACTGTAACCTTCTAGAAACTATCCAAAGAGGCACAGAGCACCTAGCAAGAGATCTCTCCTAAAGTAAAACATGAAAACCTACTGGTTCTTGCATTTGATCATTGTTACTGCTTCCCTTTCATTGACAACAGTTCATATACTCTTACTTTAACAATTTTAATTATTAATATGAATCACCTATCCATTGCTTCTTATTTTCTTCATTTATGGTAAATGAGGACACCAAAGAATTCCGTTCCCCCTCAACTTTTGCGGTTATAATTCTCTCTTATGTTAAGTCAGTCTATGAATTATATCAAAGAATCACTGAATGATAAATGAAAAACTCATTTGCACTAATTGAAAATAGAGAACTTTTGTTTTCTTCACTGAAAAGAATTTCCACTAAGAATCCATACTCAGTAGCGTAGTTTAAAAGGAAACAGTTGAGGGTGAAACCATCTTGGTATACACAGGCAATTATTTTTTTAAATGACTTAAGGATTCAGGAGTGAAATATGGAAGAATGTTACATTAAACTCTTATAAGGGCTTGAAAATATGTCTCCTGAACCTTAGTCTTACACCTCCCCACCACCCAAATTCCTCTTCCATACCTTAAACTACTTGATGAAAAAGATCAGGCCATTTTTATACCTCTAGTATTAAGTACTTCTTTAGCACTCAATAAATATTTACTGAACCAAAGTATAACACTCAAGAACCAAAACAAAGTGAGGGAGGGTATGTGGGTACAATATCCAGTGCTAAGTCTGGATTAAGTCAATCTGATCAACAAGGTGTTGTCTGACACCTTCACTTACATATTCTCCATAAGTCTCTTGTGTTGGGGGTGGCGGTGGAGGTCTGTACCCAGTTGGGGGGACTCCTCTTGCTCTGGGAGTGAGAAGTCCTCTTCCCCGACTCACTGGCCCTCGGGTGGACAGGACTCCTCTAGGAGTTGGCGTCCCTCGTGGTACTACAACTCCAACTGGCCGTGTTGTAACTCCTCCCCTTCCCCTGTAACCAAGAGGGTCAAATTAGCCATATCTATCATAGTCTCTAACATTCTGTTATTCACATATATTTATACCTCAGAAACAAAATCAAAGTTCTATATTTTTGTAAAAAGGAATAAGGAGCAAAGAACTGAAGCAAACATGAAACAGGTATCTACAAAAGGAAATTAAGTCATTTAGGCAGTTCGTCTAGCAACAATATAGAAGTCTGGAGTCAATCTCTGGTCAGTACACAGAGTAGGAAACTGTGATATTTGGAGAAGCCACATGCACCCAAGACTTCTATATGATGCCATGCCAGGATTACACCCAAACTCCACTCCCACACTATGAAGTGTGCCTTTTCTTGCTTATATCAGGACAAGGAAACTGAGGCTTAGAGATTTTAAAACTGTCCCAGAACAGCTGTAAGCAAAGTCAGAGGCCAAAATACATGCTACAATTCCATCAGAGAGAGAAGAATAAAATGTACTTTCCTGAATAATGTATCAACTACATGGTAATAAAACAACATTAAGTTAAGTAAACACAGGCATTTTCTGAGGTAGAATTCAACACATTCATGTATTTCTAATGTAAATCATGAGACTTCAAGTCAGCAACGAAGGAGGTGTTTCTATCAACGATGGCTCCACAGAAGCAAAAACCCGAGAAAATGTAAGGACAGAAAAGTGTGGCTACCCCAGAGAATACAGACACAGTATGATGCACCTCATCTGGTCCATGTGTCTAGCGGAGAACTTGTTAGCTGCAGGTGTGGCTTACAACCAGCTTCCTCCTCTCTTCAGTGTGGTCTGGGGATATCATATACGTTAAGACTCATTTTCCAAAATAGCAAATTATCAAACTCAAATGCTGGACTTTGAAAAGACTGATAAAATTGATATCTCTAGACAGGCTATATAAGAGAAAAAAAAAAAAAAAAAACCCAACACCAGTATCAGAAATGAAGGGTTTCGGCAAGGGTGTGATGGCTCAGGCCTGTAATTCAGCGACTTTGGGAGGCCAAGGCAGGTAGATGACCTGAGGTCAAGAGTTCAAAGACCAGCCTGGTCAACATGGCAACAACCCGTCTCTACTAAAAATACAAAAATTAGGCTGGGCACAGTGGCGTGTGCCTATAGTACCAGCTACTTGGCGAGGCTGAGGAATGAGAATCACTGAACCCAAGAGGCTGAGGTTGCAGTGAACCAGGATACCACACTGTACTCCAGCCTGGGCGACAGACTCTGTCTCAAAAAAAAAAAAAAAAAAAAAGAATAATGAAGAAATACTATGAACAACTCCAAGCTCACACATTTTTTAACTTACATGAATTTGACTGATTCTGATTCATAATGACAAACACAAAAAGAATTAAAATAATTTAATGGGCTATGTCTATTAAATAAATTTAATCAATAGTTAATAACCTTCCAAAAAGAAAGCATCACCACTCCATAGGTTTCAATCAATTCTATCAAATATTAAAGAATGAAATGTACCAGTTCTCTAATCTTGGTCAAAAAATAAAAGCAGAGGGAACACTTCCTAACTCAATCTGTGGGGCTGGTCATTGGAAGTGCCTCCTTAAAGTATTTCTACATTACTCGTCAGAGGCTGGGACCAGTCTGGGCCAGCCAGGGAGGCCATGTGACTGTCCCAGCCTGTTCTTGAGCACTGGTTGGGACCTGACAAAGGAAGTATCCCTCAAAAAACTTAATCAACCCTCAGAGGCTTACAACTGGCAGAGATGAGGGCCAGCCCAACTGCTCAGTGACCTGCTTAGGATGAGACATATGGTCTGAGGGGGAACAAGAACAAGGCCTCCCCATAACCAATATGGCTAAGGAGAGTCTAAAGTGAAGAGCTAGAAATCAGCAGCTCTCGTGAACACAGGTCCAAAAATTCTTCAAAATATTAGTAAACTCCATTCTACAATGTGTTAAAAGAATTATACACCACAACCAAGTAGGATTTATTCCAGGTACATAAGGTTGATTTAATATTAGAAAATCAATGTAGTCTACCACATCAACAAGGCTAAAGTAGAAAAATAACATCTGTCCCACGTGACTTATGCTTATGTTGCCTTGATCATGTAGCCGAGGTCATGCTTGTCAAGTTTCTCCACTGTCAAATTCCTCATTTTTTCTTTCTTTCCTTACTATATCCTTTAAAAGGAAGTCACTATGGGGAACCCCTAATTAAGAAATGGGGAATTGCAATTCACTTCCCCTAGGTGGAGTATCTGCAAAAATTATCTGGAAGATTTGTCCCTTCTCCCCTGTGTATCTATTGATTGATTCAGTCATTTCTATCAGTGTGGACTCATGGATATTATATTTTATACATTGTGATACAATTCGGTACCACTGTCTTTTCTTGCTCAGATTGTCTCAGTTTTGGCCATTGGGAGTTCTTTCAGTTGGCTTTGACACACACCCGTAATTTGTGGGTTTTATTCTTTTCTTTTTTTTTTTTTTTTTAAGCACTTCTTTCTGGCACTACACGTTGCTCCAGACTAGTCTTATATATTCTACCTCCAGTCCTAAAATCAGTCATTTCTCAAGAAGCTCAGGTTCCATTTATTGGGAGTATGGTATTAGAAAGCAAGATCAGGGTGCTGGTTCTGCTTGTTGTTTCTGGGATGTGCTGAGGTCTGTTCTTTCTCAGCTGACATAGAATGGAACATATATGTGTATGTACTAACCTATGATATACACGTATTTATGCATATTTCTTTTTTAACCATTTGTAAATATAGTAAACTAAACATGAGTTCATACTGATGTCTCTGATTTTAATCTGTTTGCACATTGACCATTATAGCCTCTTCCCTTTTCTTATCACCACTCCCACTCCAAACTTGAGAAACTGGCTCCCACCATTTCTTTTATTTTAGTTATTGTGTTCCAGGATACATGTACAGTGATATCAGAATGGTTAACTGTACTCACACTTCTTCCTGTAGAAAATAACTTCATCAACTAGAACAGTGCTTATTTACTTTTTTTTTTTTTTTTGCCTTTAGTCTGACAGACTTATCTCATTTCGAAGTTTACTTTTCTTCAACCCCTTCAATAAGGTTGTTTTCATGTGCTTTAATCTAGTTAAAATGTTCGTTCACATTCAGCGTTGCATCCTGAGAGTCTCCTCCTTCCTCAGTAATTATGTGGTTTTTTAGTGTGCAAACATGAAAATTCACTCTCTGTGCTGTGAAGTTCTTTGGGTTTTGACAAATGCTTGTGTCACGTATTCACTGTCATTTTGGTATCATACAGAATAGGTTTATCACCCTAAACTCTAGTCATTCAACCTTCCTCCACCCCTTAACCTGTGTTAACTACTGATTTTTTTTTTTACCATCTCTCTAGTGTTAGTATTTTCAGTATGCATATAGTTGAAAAGCATACATTATATAGCCTTTCCAGAGTGGGCTTCTTTCACTTAGAAATGTGCATTTAAGATTTATTCCTAGTTTTTGTGGATTTTTAACTCATTTCTTCTACTGCTGAATCATTTTCTATTGTATGCATGTAACCCAGTTTGCTTATCTTTTCATCTATCGAAGGGCATCTTGGTTGCTGTGAATAAAGCTGCTATAAACATTTATGTGCAAGTTTCTTATGTAGGCGTAAGTTTTCAGATCCATTGGGTAAAAACCTAGGAATACAACTGCTAGATTGGCCAATAAGGCTATGTTGCTTTGCAAGAAATCGCCAAACTGCTTGTCTAAGTGGCCATATACTATGTTGCGTTCCAGCAGA